GTGTCTGGGGGTTGTGGTGGGCTGGCCGTCCTCTGCAAGCAGTGTCGGTGGTAGCTGTTCCCCAGCGGTTCTGGCTAGCCGATGGGCCATCTGGGTTGGCCTGACAAACTGCAAGTTGGGCTCTTGGACAAATGGGAAATTTGCCTTTTTCTTCTGTTGTTCTGAGAAAGCCCCTAGGTAGGAAGAGGAGCCTCAGAGATATATAGCATTGACTTGGTGGGAGCCAGCTGTTTCATCCCTCTGTGCATCCAGTTCTCTTCCAATTTTAATGAAATTTGGTAAGAACAGAGACGAGAGGTTCACCCACGTCCTCTGGAGCAGAGAAGGTGCCCCGTGTGCTCCATGGGCCTCTGCATGCTGGGGCAGGCGCTGCAGAGATTCCCTTTCCCCATCTCCCATCCTGCTGCTTCCTGCAGGGCTGATGAACACCGGCACGGCAGGAAAATCCTGGGCTGTGCCCACTGCTCGCTGCAGTGCAGGAGGAGAGGCTGCGTAGTCAGAACCAGCAGTGGAACATTTCTTCTCTTATTTGAAGGCCTTCAGGGAAATTTGTGTCTAAAAAAAGGATGAGTGGTAGCCCAGATCTTTTTGGCAATCTGTACGTCTGGAAGGCCGGGTCCCCAGCCCTGCTCCAGCTCCTGCCTGATGGCAAAGCCAGGGCAGCCTGTCTGGTATGGCTTCGTTATGCTGGATGAGGCTCTGTATAAAATTACAGACATCAAAGGAGGATGGATTATCAACATGAGAAGGACTGGTATACAAAAATGAGATAACTAGATAGGAGGCATCTGGTGGATTTATGATCGGGGCTGGATTAAGGGTAGCTTTTATTTTAATCTAGCTACTTAAGGTGGGTTTTTCTACTGTTCACACATTTTTATCTATCACTTCTCTCTGGGATTACGTGAAGGACTCTACAGGTTGTGCCACACCAACCGGTTCCATGGCAGAGCAACTCTGTTAGCAAATTTGCTGGATGTCGTAGAATTGTGTGATTGATCTACTACCAGTTTGAAAGGTTTCAGGCACGGCTGTTAAACTGAAGATCACTTTATGTACTATTAGTACTTATTGCTATTGTAATACCTATAGAAATGAATTAGAATAGCCTACAGTGGTTTTAAATATTAAGGAAAGTGTTTTATGGTATAGGATTTTTACACTGAGCTAGTTTTAGGCCTAGCTTTTAGGGTGAAGGAGATAACACAAGAAAAATCTCTGTGAACTGATTAGTAGCCAGGTGTTGAGCCTTATTTAAGCCACATGGCCGTTTTGTGGAGCAGAGGCTGTCCTCCTCTGGTGGGTCTCCTCTGCACAGCAATACCACAGCAGCGCTTGAATTGCAGGGAAAGCGGCAGAATTCACTACTGAGAGGAGAGGATTTGGGACTGATGACTTTTAAGGTGGCCCCCTGCAAGTTACCTCAGTTCTGAATCCGGAGGCTGAGCATCGCTGACGGATCAGGAGGAACGTGTAAATACTCTCTACGCACAAAAGGTCGATCCCGGGAATTGGAGCAGGCAGCTTAGCTGATGTGCCGCTTGCCACAGCTATCTAACCACTTACCTGGGATGGGGATGGGCCGTAACTCATCCCTGTAGCTAATGCTGCTGTACTGAGCACCTACCATGAAGATCCAGCCCAGCAGAGGCAATGCTCCTCTGCAGCTGGAGAGTGGCAGGTTTAATGCAGATGGAGCTTGCAGTGAACCCCGAGGGATGCACGGCACGGATCTGCATTGCCCACGGAGGGACGCTAAATGCTCTGCGAGGAACAGGAGCGCTCTGCTGCCCATCTGCTCCAGTGAGAGGAACCAGCGTTGACAGAAACCTCTTTGGGGCCACCTCGGTTGCGGTGGCAGTGGTCTGCCGCAGAGCACTACCCGCAGGGAAGCCGCATGTGGGGCAGCGGCTACTCGGGAAGCTGGCATCTCACTTGAGTGAGAAAGAAAATACACCGGCTGCTTGTGGTTCGTGCTGGGCCTAACTGGGATGAAGTCAGTCAGGAAAGTGTCTTCCCTCAGATCCTGGTGGAGAAAAGCCATGTGTCAGGCAGGCTCTGGGGGAATGGCAGCTCCCTCAATCCTGACCCCCTGCTCGCTCCCATTAGTTTGGCTGTTTCTTGCCAGCAGAACGGAACCTAAGCCCTAATCCTAACACTAACCTGTAGCCCCTAACCCTAATATGTAACCCCTAACCCTAACTCTTAACCATAAGCCCGCAGGGCTTTCCCCTGACGCTTTCCATCCCGAGACCCATTCCCTGTAGAGCTGGAAGTGAGGGAGTTAACCATTCCAGGTTTTCTCATTTGTTTTATCCAGAAAATTGAAACATGGAATGAAATGTACTGATTTTTCTCCAAGTCAAGGCCTGATTTACTGCTGGAAACTTTTTCACTTCACTGGCTCCCAACCACAGCTGCTGCTCTTTTGTACTGGATTCAGCGGGGTGTTCCTAACCTGAAGGGACCGCTTGGAATGGATCCAGGTGAAAGGGATATTTATTTCCTTTAAAACTGGGTATTCTTTCCTCTCTTAAAACATGCTGGCCTTTTGGGATCTGCTTTTATAACTAATGCAATTACTGCTATAGGTTATTTTTGTGTTTTTTTTTTTTTTAAATCTGATGAGCATGCACTAGAAATGCAGCTGCTTTGATTGAAGAGCGCTCTTATCTCTTTGTACCTTCAGGGTGCTCGCTCCAGCACAGCTATTTTATTATGGGTGGCTTGCCATGTGTCATAAACGTGGGTTGTTTTTTTTTCCTGAGTAATCGTGCCATTGCAGAACCCGCCTGCTTGCCTTTCTGCTGCAAACCCTCCCCTCGTCTGCCTGGCCGGGGATGAGCTGGTGCCTCGTGCATGGAGCTCGTCTCGCCGCTGTATTTTTCTCACCCTTTTTCTCACCCTTTTACTCCTGCCACAGCAGTGCAGTGCCAGGGGCTCTGCGGGGGGCCCAGCTGGCTGCAGGAGCGAGCACCGGTGTGGGCTCTCCCCGCTGGTGCTTTTCTGAGGTCTTCCCTTGCCCCACCAGTCGCGTCCATCACTTGCCCATGCAGCGGCTGGAGCTCGTCTCGCCGCTGTATTTTTCTCACCCTTTTTCTCACCCTTTTACTCCTGCCACAGCAGTGCAGTGCCAGGGGCTCTGCGGGGGGCCCAGCTGGCTGCAGGAGCGAGCACCGGTGTGGGCTCTCCCCGCTGGTGCTTTTCTGAGGTCTTCCCTTGCCCCACCAGTCGCGTCCATCACTTGCCCATGCAGCGGCAAGCCATCTGCTTGCGAGGGTTTGGGGGAAGACCTGTTCCTTCCTCTCCTTAAATAAATACTTTCACTGCATTTAAAAACATCACACACAGGACCCACTGCTTCGGTTGCCCTCTTTATACATGCACAGGACTTCACGTGCTCATCATTTCCTTGAGCATGTGGATATCTAACGAAAATGCAGACCCAACTCTACGGCTTCACTTGAAAAGGCTTAACATGCGAACAAGATCGTTCAAGGTGGACTTCCAAAGAGCTGCCATCAAATGACCAAAAGCACCTGTATTTCCTACATGCTAGCCCAAGGGGTTGGTGTTTTTGCGAGCTGTTATGTTCACAAGGGGGGGAAATCCCCCCTTAGTAAGAAACCCCTCCATTAGTAAGAAACTAACACTGGAAACCGCCCAACTGGACGCATTGCGACTGTTTTAATGAAAGAGAGCGGCAGCACCTGGAGGCTGGAGCTTTGAGTTCATTTCTATTCCATGAGTGGATCTGATGTAAAATGATGGCTTTGCAAAGGTCAGGATGGGCTCCTGAAGCCTTAGGCCGTGCTGGGCAGGGGGCGGCTCCACGTTTTGACCAAGGGTGGCCCTGGGACACACAGTAGCTGTTGGTGAGCTGGGGCACCTCTCAACTTCAGCACAGTCCATAAGGGGCGGCGCGGCCCCGCTCCACCTCCACGGCGTCTCCTGACCCGGTGCAGGGTTTGGGGTCTCACAGAAGCCTTGGCTGCCTTCACGAAGCACGGGTTGAGAGACATCGGTCTGGGCCTCCCTTCAGATAAAGAAAATATGCTGAGAGTATACAAGACCTGAGTGTGAAGGCGTGGGATACCCCATGCACAGTGGTCTGTGAGCAGAGGGATGGTGGCAGCAGGAGTCTGACCGAGACAGAAGGGGAGACACCAGCCCAGTACAGAGCTCCAGGGGGCTCCTGGGGGCACTCACAAATACTTGTAAGTATTTAGAAGAGAATAATGAGTTCACGTGGTCTCTCTGCAACACACACGTCAGATTAATCTAATTTTCTTCTTTAATACGGCGCCTGGTGTGGTGGATAAAGGCGCAGCAGCAGCTGGGACATGTCTCCCGTAAATGATGCTGTCCCATGCTGTATTCTCATAGGCAAAACACAGTCAGTGCAGGCTGACGTTAATCGATATGAGGTAGGTGCAAAACTGGCTTGGCAAGAAGGGACGTTTTCTAAGAGACCTCTTGGGCTTATTTTTATTTGATAATTTCATTCATGGCTTTAATGATGAAATAAAAGGTAGCTTGTGAAGGCCGCAGATGCTGCCAAAGGACTCCAGGCATCCTCATGGACAGAACTAAAATCCAAAATGAGCATGAGAAACTGGAGAATGGATCCAAAAATCAAGAGACTAAAATGGAAAATGAGTCCAATGCAAACTTATGGGGAGGAAAGGTGAGCTGCATATGTGCAAACAGGAGCATAAAGGCAAGGCAGAAGCTCTGCAGAAGAGGCTGTGGGGCCCAAATGCATCTCAGACTGGCCCTGGCGCTGCAGGTGATGTTGGTGTGGACGATGACAACATCTCAGCAGGGCTGCTGGGGGATCGCCTTTCTGCAACAACCACCCACCCCCACCCCCCCCCCGCCCCGGCCGAGCACCCCCCCCCGCCCG